GTAGGTCTGCTCATTCGCCTGCGCAGTCGGCTGTTCTGTGCTGTGCACGGTCCAGTGCCCCATCTAGATGAACTTCATTCTAAAATATTTGTCATCGATCGTGAGATACATGGTCTCGTAGGTGCCCTTAAAGGTCTCGATGGGGCTCGGTAACGTGGTGCAGGTTCGAGGGTGGCGGAGAAACTGGCGGAGGCTCATTTGGGGGTGGGGGTGGCTCCGGCGGCGTTGGTGGACTAGGCGACGGAGGCGGTGCCGGTGCCGGGCTCATGGGAGGCGCGAACCGCTCAAAGTGGATGTCGTCAATCGCAATGTCGGAGGTGTTGCAGGGGCCAGTCACCGCCTCGAAGCGCAGCTGCGTCGTCGTCGATGGTAGGACAAGCTCCTCCTTGAACCACTCGTCGGTGTGAGTGCTTGCGTTGTACCTGAAGGGGTCTTGCCAAAGCGGTTGCCAGGTGCCGCCGTCTAGGGCGGCGAGCGTGAGGTTGCCCACGCAAGAGCCAAACAGGTGGTAGTAGAAGAAGAGGGTGGCCGACTGCGCGAGCTGGAAGCGCGGGCTCTCGAGCACGTATGGGGCGTTGAAGTTGTCTGGCGATGCCTCGGTGTAGATGTAGTACGTCCCTTCGACGGCCGACGCGGGTCCGGTAAGTTCGGACGAGGAGGTGGCCTCAGCTCTCGTCGGGGTGGGGCCGCTCGTCCGTGTCCAGTTGTAGTCGCCGGGCTCAGCGTCAGTCCAGCCGCAGAGGTCCGACTCAAAGTCGCAGTCGAGCCACCCATCAGGGGGGTAGGGCGGCACCGGCGGCGGCGGCGGCACCGGCGGCGGCGACGGCGGCGGCGGCGACGGCGGCGGCGGCAGGGGCGGCGACGGCTCGTCGCTCACGCGGCGACGATCTCGACGACCGGAGTCTTCGCAAACGCACGTGATCTCTTGGTCGAAGAGGTCTCCGTGGAACTGAATGTCTCTGGCGTTCGACTCCGTAGCGATGAGCTTGTCGGCGACGATGACGCCATCGAAATAGCCTATGTCGGCGTCCATTTGGACGGTGGCCTGAGGCGCCAGGATCGTAAAGGCAGGCTTTTCGGGAACAGAAGTATCTGAATCTTCTGCTGCTACCGTGATTGTCCCCGTGCCGGTGAAGACCAGGAGACAGCGTGTGCCTTCGTCGTCCTCTACGAAGCCATTGGCAACGAGATTTAGAAAAGAGCCGTCGGCCCGGCAATCCGCGTTTGTTACCCTTCTTGCGCTCGTCCCCTGGTTGAAGATCTGGATAGACCACCGTTCGCTGCTCGTCCAGTCGTGCCTCTGGATCGAGTTCGCAAACTGCAGGAACGCGGCCTGCGTGAATCCAGTCTTGGCCCAACAGTCTGTGCCAACGCACTCGCTCTGTCTGATGTTGAGGCGGTTGGTCCGGCAATCAAGATACGAGTTCATGTAGGTGTTAGCTCCATCTGTCGGGTACTCACTTCCCGACGCGGGTACACCCCCGATAGGCGCTCCTCCAAGGCCATCCGTCCGGCGGGCGCAGGCCTCGGCCCCTGTCGAGAGCGAACCAACCACCGTGCTTTGACAGGAGGTTTGAGGAGTGGTACCGTAGTAGAGCATCCTCCCCGGCGTTGCAATGCCACAGTAGTACAGCTTTGCGTACGATCTTATGGCTGGGTCCGAGTTGGTCGTGCCGGTGTGGAACGCGATAACGCTAAAGCCTAGCCAGCTCCTTCCAGTCGCTGCGTCGACCGGCTGCTCGCAGCAGGTGCTCGAGGGTGAGGCTGAGGGCGGCGGCGGCGGCGGCGAGAGCCCTGGCGGGAAGGGCGGCGGGAAGGGGGGCGGAGCCGGTGCTCGGCGCGCATCA